AGCTCTTTCCAGCCACTTCTCCTAGAGCTGCGAACTCAGCCAGTACATGACCGGCCTTCCAAAGCGTCATAAAAATGGTTTTATCAGCTGTTTTTCCAAGGTATAACAAGAGTCTCCAACTTTCCAGCCTGCAATGTCTGCACCCTTCCCACCTGCAGAAAACCACTAAGTCAATGCCTCATATTGTAGGGGTTTTGCTAAAACAGCAAATAATAAACTGCCAGTATTGTTCTTTGTTTATTTAGGGTCAGGAAAGGCTGCTATAAGAATGAGAGCCCATAATGATTTGGTGGCTCAACGAAGAGGGAAATGTGTTTCTTTCACATGTAATAGTCTATGAGGACCATTCCAGATTGGCAGGCTGTTGGGTTCCACAAAGTCATCCAGGAGCCTGGGGGCCTTCCGTCCTGTTGCCCTGCCATCCTCTAGGCCATTGGCCTTGGCAGCTTGATCACCGCTGGGTTGGAGGCGCATCCAGGTTCCCACTTGTGGGAAGGGGAAAGAAAGCATGGGGGTGGTGGGAGGGTACACCTGAAAGCCGAGGCCTGGGAGAATCACGCTTCCCTTGCCGGTATATGCCATTGGCAAAAAACTTAATCACATTGAGAGACCTCCATGCAGGAGCATCTGGGACCTAGAGTCTGGCTGTGTGCCCTGGAGGAAGGGGAAAATGAGTGTTGGTGGGCAATTAGCAGTCTCTGCCCTATGCCTGGGAGCTGAATGGGCAGGTGGTCCTCCTGAGTCATATGGCCTTGAGCATAAGTCGAGAGGACGTTTGTCTCTGTGGGAGGCCCTGGTCCTCTCACCCCACACACGTGCTTATTGCCCATCCAGAATGCGGGGCCAGCAGACCACGATGACACACGTTTGCTTGGCCAACTTTGCCGGATCTAAAATGTACTCTACAGTACTCTCTAAAATGATGCCCAGCCTCCTCCCCTGTGCAGGTGGGTGCCCGAGAGAGACACATGGCGGCCCCAGGAACCTGCTGGGGGATGGAAGGGTGTGCTAGCCTGGAGTCTCCAAGAAGCAGACGCCAAGAGAGGATTAAGTGTGCAAGGATGTCATTAGGAGACATGCATGTGGGAAATGAACTAGAAGGGGCCAGTGAAGGCCTGGGGGACTCAGCAGGGCAGGCCTCAATGCAAGAATGACCCCAAGAGAAGGAGATAGGGAGAGGTGACCGTGGCAGTCTAAGAAAGCTTCAGCAGACCCACTGGGAAATTCTCGAGCCAAAGTCGACCAAGAAAAAAATCGGCGTCTCCTGGGAATGGTTCTGTCCTCGTGTCCCCAGCTGTGCACATGGTCATTGGTGGGGAGCAGCTCGTGGGGGCATGGGATGGATGTCAAAGCCAGGGCTGCTCTGATAAGTATCTCCCCTGTCCCGAGAGGTCTGCAAGGCCCATTCTCACGGCTGCCATGGGAGGTTACGGTGAGAACTGGGGTTCATACTCTAGACAGAGGCTTTGAAAATTTTGAAATAATAAAAAAAAAAAATTAGACTGGGTTGCCACCCTGCTCACCACAGACAAGCTGGGTGGCATTGGGTGAGAAAACGAATCCCTCTGATCCTTATTGGCTTCTTCATCTGTAAAATGCCTGGGAAATGTAATCAGGATCAAAGTCAAGTTCCCGCATGAGGTGCTTGCTAAATGGTGCCCTTTATCCCCTCCCCATTTTGCCAGAGCTCAGTGGGTCTAGGGGCTATTCCACACGTGCTCCCTGAGGAAGGAATCCCAAGTCCACGGCTGATTCCAGTTCCCTGGGACAGCAGCTAGCCCCTTCCTCTCAGCCCCACAGCAAGTGGGCCCAGAATCAGTCCGGAGTGGGCTGCAGAAGCTAAGCTGGCTTGTAAACCAGTCTGAGAAGCACCCTGATAAATCTCTCTCCCAGAGCCAAAGAGCAATACTTAGAAGAGACTGCCCCGTCCAGGCCTGGGAGGGCCACTTGTTACCTCCTCTGGGCTCCAGCTTGTTTGAAAACTCATCACCCAAGCTAGGACTGTGGGCTGAGGCCCAGGTGGGGAAGGGAAGGAAGGAGGCGTCTCCTTGGACAAGCCTGTAAATCCCAGCGGCAGACGGCAGACGGCTGGGCAGGCTTCCACCCACCCCAGGCACACGTCGGCTCTACAGCTCCTGAGAGGCGCTGTCTCTGGTTTCTCTCTCCCTGTGCCCGTTCTGCAGAGCACTTTCTCGGCCGCCTTCCCTCCCTCCTACTCTCTGTGGGCCCCTCCCCCCACCCACCTTTCTTCTCTCTCTCCAATGGTGGCCCTGATTCTTCTCCATCTCCTGACACCTCCCGGGGCTCCTGGAGTCTGAGTGTGTAGCTCTCTGTACTTCCCCATCTCTGGAGGTCTCCGAGTCTCCCTGTCTCCCTCAGGGGCCTCATTCCTCTCTGTCTTGCTGGTTCTCATGCTCTCTTGCTCCCTCGGAACCATCTCTCTCCCTCTGGTTCCTCCTCTTCCACCATTTGACCTCCCAGCCCAGCCGCCTCCTTGGAGCTGTATGCTGCCTTGGACCGCCTTCAAGCCACAAGGAGCAGCCGAGCCCCAAAAGTTCCATAGGGACCTTGGAGGAGCACCCCAATGCCCCATCCGCCCTCCTTCTTCCTCTGTGCACGGCAGACCTGTTCAGAACCAGAGGGCCATGCACCCCACACCCAGCCTACTCCCTCTAATAATACAGCCTCCCAACCTCCGCCCCCTCCCCCAACCCCTCTTGGGGTCACTGCCTCTTCTAAACTTCTTTCGGTATCCAACCCTTAGAGCTCATGGCTAGTTACAGGCGATACTAAGAAACTGGGACAAATAGGACATCGTTTTTATACCAAAGAGAGGGGAACTGGCTTAATTAAATGTGCAGTATCTATTCAACAGAATTTTATAAAAACCATGATGTAGAGCCATACGTACGGGTGTTAAATACAAATCCAGGTAAGCCAAAAGCAGATTAAAAACAGTATTTAGAGCATAAACCCATTTTGTAAAAGAAAAGAAATATGCATAACATCATAATTTACTTCAGGGTGGTGGGAGTATGGGTAACTTGTTTTTTATTGTGATGAACAAATAAAGCCAACCAGGACATAGGCCAGATAGGTACTGATCTTCTTCACTGCCCCTTTATTGATTTTAACCCAACAAACATTTCTGAAGCTCCAACTGGGTGCTCAGCCCTCCCAGCAGCCAAACAGGAACTGGAGTGATCAGATATGCAACAGATCCTATGACAACCCCTGGAGACTGGCCAGGGTGACCCAAGGAGACCCTTCAGGTAGGTCTTCAGCTGGGGTTGGTGCTGAAGGTGAATAGAAGAGGCTCGGGGGCAAAGGGTACTGGCAGGGGAGGGGTACCCAGAGGGGAGCTGGGTAACTAGGATCTCAAATGTGAAGGGTGTGTACCCCACCCCCCCAGGAAGGCTTGGGGCACCCACCAATTAAACAGCAGAAACAGGACCCACTGCTCAAGACATGCGGTAAGACAGGGGAGGAGGATGAGGGACTAGAATGGGGGGGGGGTTCTCAAACCAGCCTAGCCATGCAGCAGCAGAGACTGGAATCAAAGCCTGAACTCACCGCTGCCTGGCCAGGCTGTGGCCCTTGAAGTTAAGGGCCTTCTGTCAGGAACCCTCACCACAATGAAACTGTGGCCGTGGACTGCAGGGGCCAGTGTGTTCCTAAGGGCTAGGCAGCGCCAAAGACCCCAGCCCCCAAGGCCCTGGGCCTGGCCTCCTCTGTTGGAGCCAGATGGGAGGACATTCTTTCAGGCCCTGTGGGTTCTATTTTTGTTTCTTTGTTTCACTTCCTCGGCTCTCTAGTTTTCTGCAGAGTCTAGTGCTAGGAGTCCGCGCTAGGAGAGGTGCGGAGTCAAGAGGCAGTTCAGTTGTCCTGCGGGGCCGAGCTGAGCGCAGCACCAGCCCCCACCACCAGAGGGCACCCGAGCACAGAAACTGGCAATTTCGAGAGAGGGGTAGCGAAAGCACCCAAGCTCTCCGCGTATCTCTGAACTACTCAGCCTAGGGCCTGGCCACGGTGGGTCAGCTCTGGAGTAATCCTGGAGGGCTTGGCTGGGTGGGGGCCCCATGTGTGGGGACCTGCCCTCCTCGACCGAACGTGGCTTATTACATAGATCGCCACCTACTGCCAGGTGATAGTGTTACACTGCCAACCCAGAGGGTTTAGGGTGTAGGCAGGAGTGCGGGGCAGCTGCTGGAGAGCACCGGAAAGGGACCCGTGTGATGGAAGGAGCACTGGACGCGGAGTCAGGACAGCTGACTGCGCTGCCACTACGTTCCGTGTGACCTCTCCCTCTGCCCTGTTTGTCTTCTCATCTGTAAACAGAGGGGGTGGGAAGACTTGGTGGTACCCAAGCGCCCTTCAGGCTTCCAAAGATATGCCCCACCCTCCTTGAAGTGGCCTGAAGAGGGCCACGGAGGCTGGAGAAAGGGGACCGAAGAACCGAAACGGCCGCTGTCTGCTTGGGGCAGTTCAGGGGCGCCCGGCACGGCGCTGAGTCAGCACGGGAGACGCGCAGCACTCTGTCGGGTCCCACCACCCAAATATCCCCGCCCAGGTCTCCCGCTGCTGGCCCGGGCAGCGCCCCACTCGCCGCCTGTAAGGGGCGCCGAGTGAGTGGGATCTTCTGCGGTGAGTGCGGGACGATGACCCGGCCTCCCTGAGAGGTCAACGGCACCAAGAAAGGTTCTCTCCGTCCTCACGGCGCCGACCTTCGCCTCGCGGGCGGCTTCGCTCCATCCCGGACGCTGGCGATGGGGAACACAGCAGGGAGGCAGGAGCGCTCTGGGCCGGGTGTGGATCCACTTGGGGCGGCGGGTAATGGCCCCGGGCACCGCGGGCGCGACCTCGTTCCGGTGATTGAAGCTTGTGGAGTTACCTCCACCCGGGGATCCCTGGCCCCACATTCCTGCCACATCCTTCTCCCACCTCCCCCAGTCTCGGGAGCCTGGGCCCCGAAGGTTCAAGAAGTCAAGAGCCTGGAGAAATGCACTGTGCAAATATATTGACTTTATTTGTCTCCGTTCGGGAGCCTCACAGACATATCCAAGTAAAAAGATCGTTAAATAAACGCCGTCAGCCATCGCAATGCAAAAATAAATATCAGTCCTCCGGCCGCAGCAGCAGCTGCGCTGCGCCCCAAGTCCCATCGGCCGCGCCTAACAATTATAAAAGTGTTCAGCGAGAGTGTGTTGGCGTGAGTGTTAACGGGTGTGCGCTGGGGGGCACGGTGGAGCGGTGTGCAAAATCGGAGTTGCAAACCATCAGACAAGGGCGTGGAGCGGCTCTCGGGGGAGGCCCGGCGACCCAGGGCCGACTCAGCGCAGGCGCGCCTCCCGCACACACTCATGGCAGAGTCCGTACTGGGAAGAGTTAAAAAATAAACATTTACAAGGGCAAAGAAAGCGGCCCCCCTCCCCGGCACCCCCGCGCGCTCCGGCCCGGGACCAGTGCAGCGCGGGGCGCACCGAGCAGCTCGCAGCCCGGCGAGAGGTCCCGGTCCTCGCGGGTCCCCGGGGCGCGGGGCCCGGACCCTCTGGGGCTTGGTTCGCGGGTCCCCGGGCGGGCGGCGCCCCTCACAGGGCCGAGTCGGAGTCGCTGGAGTCCAGGCTGTTCCTCAGCTTGCAGCTGCTGAGCTGCTCCCTCTGCAGCGACAGGCTCTGCGTGCTGCGGCGCAGGCACTCCAGGCTCTGCAGGAACGACTTCTTGGCCTTCTCCTCCTCCATGGGGGACACCCCTTCCTCCTCCACCTCCTGGATCTCGTCGAAGGTCACCGGCTGCGTCTTGAAGCGGGACTGGCGCGGCCGCCGCAGCCGGCCCTTGCCCTTGGACAGCTTGGCGGGCCGCATGGGCTGCGGGAACTCGTCGGCCAGGCACACGAAGTGTGGCATCACCGCCTGGTAGCTGGAGCAGATGCCCATCAGCTCGCCGGGCTTGGCGGCCGCCATGGCGCTACCGGCGTCTTCGGGGCCGGGCGGCGGGGCGCCGGGGCTCTCAGGGGGCGGCCGCTGCGCC